TGATGTGTGGATGTTAGTCTTTTATCTATTGTGATGTGTGGATGCAAGTCTTTTATCTATTGTGATGTGTGGATGTTAGTTTTATCTATTGTGATATGTGGATATTAAGTCTTATCTATTCTTAGAGTATAACAATTTAAAACATTATTATTATTATATATTTTTTTCTATAATCAATATGTGTAAGTTATATGAGGTTTACAAATGTCTAAGGACAAAAAATATAATGTTGTGTTCCTGTTAACACTAAAATTAAAAACTGATTTGATAATATTTTTTTAGGATGATGACCAAAAGTTTAACATATTTTCATAAGCAGACACACAGAGGTTGAGAATTGTGTCATGTGATGAATATTTAAGACGGACACCTCTATAATTCTTGCTACATGGAAGTAATCAAAAGACATTTGAGTTGGTACATAAATTAGAGTCAGTGGGGTTTCTGAAACACAACACTATTAGTTTTGTCTAATATTAAAGCCATATACAGATAAGTAGTCATAAATTACAAACTATAAGTAAATTAGAGCATGCAAGGAAAATAAAAGTAAAATAAGTACTCACAAGGGAATAGATGCTTCCACAGAGGCAGTAGTGATAAATACAATGCCGTATCTGCAACACTTGGGTAAGATTTGAAAACAGCTGTTAGGGCCAGCAGGATAATAACAAGTAATGTATATTCTTTCCTGCAAAAGCAAAATAGTTTGTGCTTATAAATTCTTGAAGTTAACCAGGGTATTTCTCAAAGTGGTATTATTTAACAAGAATTACCATATAATTAATTTTTCACTAATTTTAATGCTGCTGAAAATCATACAATTCAATAAGAGTTGAGGTTCAAAAATATGCACGTTAAAAACAATTTTTCTTTGCAATTGTTAAATATTTTTTGTGAATTAAAAGTTATATGATATTAGGTTATATCATGTTATATTGAAATTATACCTGTCCAATAAAAATTATTGAATTTTATTCTTGTATTAATCTCAGTTACAATTAATTTCTGTACTGGCAAAAAAAATTCAGAATTTACCTTAGCTATTATAGAAAGACGATAGTTAATACTGACATCAGATTCAAAGATAAGGGATTAAATAATAAAAAATAATAATGATAGTATGACTATTAAAAAGGAGTGGATGGTTAATATCAGTCTTAATTGTAATGTTGAAAAAAGTAGATAGTTATAGCTTGACTTCGTTTTAGTCAAAAAAAAAAAAGGTCAACAGCAACAATTACTGAAAAAGTTGTTAATTAAATATCCCTAATTTGAATGATGAAAAAGGTGAGTCTTAGTTTTCAATTATAAAAAATGTAGGTAGTTATAACTTGTTTTGTTTGATTAATAAAAACTGGGATTAAAACATCCTTTATATTACATACCTACACTTTTGGTGGAAAAAAATCTAAAATGTCTTATTAATCTATATACAACATCTTTTATTAACTTACCTTAGCCTAACAGATAAGGGTAGCATATAGATAAATGCATTTATCTGAAAAGTCCACAGAAAGAAAATACGGAAATGATCGAACATCTCAGTGAAGAAATACCAGAAAAGTCCAACATTAGGAGTAAGATCTGGAACTGATACACTGGTAGGTAAAAACAAAAAAATGCAACAAAGAATAAAAATTTGTTGAACTTAGGGACATAAAAGTTTTAATGTTAACACACACTAAGTAGGTATCTTGGTTAAATACTGATATAAAAGTTTCTTGTTCAAAAAGTGTTATATAGATCATTTCTGTTTATGAAACTCCACAAAAAGTCAGTATTAACAAGACTACTATTTCACCCATGTAAAAATTGAGTCCTTAAATAATAATTATAATAAATGTAGAAATTGTTGAACAACTGCTGGGCAATTAACTTGATTACCGGTGAAAATATATTAGCATTATATAAAGTAATCAATTAATCAAAATTAGTGTCTACAATTATTACTATTTTTGATTATTCTAACTATACATGTAATTGAGATATTCCCAATATGATTTCCTATTATTATTGTCAATTAGATCAAGGTTGTTCAACTTTCTTAATTAGTGTCACAACTTACAAAAATAATCAACTAATTGAAATTAGTGTTCCTGATTATTTAATATGTTAGGTTATGATGCTAAAAATCAGGTTTCAATATCCATGGTGAGCAGAGCACACACACAGTCAATTGTGTACCTTCGTGCTCTTCAATGACAACAAAAACAACTAACCAATCAATTACTTCAACTATCTTATGTGAGAATAATTAATTAGATGAATCTTATAAATTAATGAGCCATTAATCCCAGTTCAGTAGAGCTGGGAGAATAGTGGAATTTCTAATTGATTAACTGACCCAGTTCAGTAGAGCTGGGAGAATAGTGGAATTTGCTAATTGATTAACAATAGTGGAATTTGCTAATTGATTAACTGAACTGAACTGGGTAGCATGAAGTATATTGTGGGAATCCCACCAATTACAATACTTTGAAAAAACTAATAAAAATAATTTTATACATTAAAATATTTATTCAGTATTTTTCCTGAGAAAAATATAATTTGTGTGAGATGTAAAAACTTTAAGTTTTATTTAAAACATATATGTACCACTTTTGTCTCTAAGAATTCCAAAGCCTGTGATCTACAAGTTACTAATGATTGTTACAAGTGACTTGTTTTCCACATTTTATAAGAAGGAAATAGAAAACTGACCAACTCAAAGATTCTTAAGAAATGAAACAAAATTCACTGCTGCATTTACACTTTGCAGTTTTGTAACATTTAAATTTTACAGAAATCTGAGTTTAAAATGTTATGATTGCTACTTATTCCTATGTTCTTCTTGGTACTTTTCAAAATTGATCAACTTTTATTGACTTTGATACATGGTTAAAATAGATTTAGAAATTTTGTAATTAAAACAGCCTTTAACGCCATCCCCATGGGTATCCTTTACTGAGCATGACTTTAGTGTCTTACATTCAAATTTTATTCAACTAGTTTCTGTTTACGTTATACCAATTAGAATAGCATAAAGTCTTAGCTAATAATCCATATTTTAATAGTATATAAGTTTTAAGTTCTTAATTCTAAAAGGCAATATTAAAAAAAATTCTGAATTTTCCATAATGTGACACACATGACACATTTTCTCTAGACATCTTGTCTCCTGTATCTTATCCACCACCCCTTGGAAAAGTATGAAATTAAATGTAAATTGCTCACTATAAAATTTTTTATTGCCCCGACAAACCATATTTTTTATAGTCTTCAAGTTTGTTTGGTTACAGAGCTATCAAATTCAAAATCGGACCCCTTCTGCCACACCCACCTGTCACCTCTTTCAGGATTTGTTAACAGTTCTCTCTTACATTTAATTATATATTACTTATAACCAATAGAAAGTCAAGGTTTTCATCTATCAAATGACAGATTTTAAAATGTTACGTTCTGAACAGTTAAATGTCAAATTTCACTCAGAATACCAACATCGTTCCTGTGAGAAAGTTAATGACTAGCTTGGGTGAATTTGTAACGACTTTTGTCACATAGTTAGAAAGCTAGAACAATTTTGAGAGGTAAAGGAGTTTGTGTGTAATGTAATTCGTTAGCCTAACCCGAGTTGCATGTGATTTACAACTTATAATAGCATGAATAGTAGTTAAAAACGGTTCAAAGGGCAATAAAAAAGGCAATAAAACAATAAAATTTAATTATAAATAGATGTATACTGTTACAAACTTAGAGCTACTTAGGATAAACAAATGTAGCTTCATGTTACAATTTGAAGTCATTCTAGAAAAAAAAAAAGATTAATTTATTTTAATTTTTTTTTGGTGGTTACGAGGTCGGTCAAATTGACTGATCCCGTTTTGAGATAGGGTAGAGAAAATAACAGATAAACTGTCAAGTTTAGAAGGTTTTAGGGATTACACAAAGGAAATTCAAGATTTTTTTAAATGAGGAAAAGTATTTTTAATTTTAAGATGAAAATTACTTTGCACACAGACTATTGAAAACAAATACTAAATATACTCATGAACAAATCTTTATTTTAGGTCATTAAAAATACTTCACTAAGAAATATGATTTTTTGACTGCCAAATTTTGTGAAGATATACACACTATATTGAAAGTTAGAAGTATTAAATCTATAAAGACTTTAAATGAGCACAAAGAGGTAACGTGGTCAGTCAAATTTATCAAGCCTGTGTTGAGAGAGTTAATATATGTTGGTTATAATAAATATGAAAAAAAAAAACCATTGGTGGCTTTTTTTAGTGATCAATCAACTTACATGGTTCCATATGTAGACCACAAGAAGTCCCATGATCCCACCACCTTGAATGAGATGATTAATAAGGATGTAAGAGTACTCACAAAAATGAGCAAGATAAGCAGTGCTGCATAAACTCTTTCTTTAGTTGTCTTCTTGTTCTACAGAAAATAGTTCAACTTGAGATGGAGATTATTCAATACCTTTTTCAATGAAAACAAATGATCTTTCAAAAAATATTTCCACATTTATAAATTTAAGGCAATCATACAATAGAAAAAAATATCACAGTAGAAACTATTGGTATATTAATAAGTATTCAATAATCAATAAAATGTACTTTATAATGTTTTACATTTGACACACACACACAAATACAGTACTTTCATAAGTCTGATTTCAACAGGGAAAACAAACAAAAAAGAAGCTAATTTTGCTAATGAAGCCTTCAAGAACATTAAAATAATTCTGATTTGCTGTTACATCCACAAACTGTTTTATATTTATAAAAAAACAATTATTTACTTTATTCATTGTGAGATAACTGCACATCAATTATTGGGCACTAGTGGACTGAGTGGGAATGATCCATTGATACATGTTTTCATGATAAAAGGTTTATCTTAAATCACCAATATTCTTGACATGCAGTAAAACAAATTCATGATGTCAGAAAAACACGTAGGTTCAAGAAGCCTGAATATAAAATGATAATATCCTATAACCCACGCACTTTTGAAAGGTGGTGTAACTGAATGAGTGACATATAAAGGGGGGGTTGAGTGATGTCATGAAGGTCACCTGGGCTTCCACAAAGTGTGTTTGTATATTTATCAATGTACTATTGAAGTGTGTCTTAATTCTGGTGCAACATGGCTGGAAACAAAAGCATTATGTAAAAAGGTGTTAGAGATGTTTTGCTTTAGAAATGGTCAAGAAAACTATACTTAAATGTTGTTAAAGTAAAATAATGATGACACATGGAGACTGATTGAAAAAGAAATGTTAAGCAGATCAATTTCTAAATGAAAATTATCACAAATAAATAGTACGTATTACAAAGATTGAGGGTAGATATAGAGGGCACACACTAAATAAAACAAATAAATAAAAAACATTTTTCTGACAGAGAACAAACCAATGATTAGAGATTACTGATTCAAGGATCTATTATTCTACAAGGTTGAACAGCATTTAGATTAGGAATCCAATAAGCTTCTTTTATCTCTCTATCAGCTTTAGTTTTAATACAAGATGATAAAAACCCTATAACTCAAGCACTTTCGAAAGCGAGACCTTTCTTTTTCAAGAGCAAACAGAAAACTTTAGTTTTAAAGTTGGTTTCAATTCTGATGAGAATAACATTGCTAATAGAATGTTTGTTTGTTTGTTTTTTAATTATGCACAAAGCTGCACAAGGGCTATCTGTGCTCTGCCCACCATGGGTATCAAAACCCGGTTTCTAGCATTGTAAGTCTGCAGACATACCACTGTGGCACTGGGGGGGCACTCTAATAGAATGACCAGGTTGGTTGAAGTGTTGAGCAACAGGGAGATCTTTTATGGTGTTAATAAAAAAATTATGGTTGTTGATATGCTCTCTAAGAGTTGTTTGGGTATGTACCACATACTGGTCATTGCAATTTTTGCACTGTATAAGGTAAATGGTATTCTGTGTTCCACAAGTGATTTCTTTATAAATGTGAAAGTTTCTTTGGTTGTGCTTGTCAGAAAAAGTATTTCTAATACTTACTATTTATTTGTGATAATTATCATTGCCTGTCTTTAGAAATTGATCTGCTTAACATTTATTTTTCAATCAGTCTCCATATGTTACCTTTATTATACGTTAACAATACTTAAATATAGTTTTCTTGACCATATCTAAAGCAAAATATCTCTGACATCTTTTTACATAAAATTCTCATTTCCGGCTGTGTTGCACCAGAAATGAGACACACTTACAATAATACATTGATAAATATACAAAAAACAATTCCTGGAAGCCCAGGTGACCTTCATGACATCACTCAACTCCCTTTATATATATATATATATATATATCACTCATTCAGTTACACCACCATTCCCAGTTTGACCCTGAAGAAGAAACTCCACCTGTCGAATGAGCTCTGGTTATAAGGTTTTTATCATTTCAGTAAAACAAATGTTAGAGGTGGATGCAAAAGAATGGTCTCAGTGGAAAAGTTGTAGTTACAAAATGTAATAAAATCATGCACAAACTTTGTCGAGCATTTAAACTTTACAGAATTTGGAGAACAAATGAGGCAATGTGTTTCGGACTGACATAACAAAAATTGTGTTTTTCTAGAAACTTTAAGAGAGATTTTGGGCAGAGATGTGAATATGATAAGTTGACCCATGTGCATGTTAGCAAAACATTGTAGCAGTATATAATTACGTGGGTATGGTTTCCACTCCGAAGACAGAATCAAAATCTATAGTATTATGATGAAGGATTAGTACTACAACATCTTGATTCATCACACAATAACCACTGGATGATGTGTAATGGAATTTCAGCATAAGTTCTGCTAATTAAATGGCATCCAAAAACAGAAGGAAAAGTAATGAAAGATAAGGCAACTTTAAGAAATAGTTCGGCAGAAATGGAAGAGGATACTAGTTTAAAGTTTTAAAATACATGAAACATCCATGCCTGATTGCTGTCCTCATACAGTTAAGACGAGAGCAGAACCCCCTAAATATTATTTAATTTTTTTGTGTTTCAGAGTAAACTTCTTTTGCCTCATATTGTAGTATTGAGTGCAAAAATAACACGTAAAAATGGCAGCATTTTAATTTGGTAATCTTTATTGAAAAGTTGACAAGTTGGAATCAAACTTTTAACTGACATTGTGTATTAGTAAAGTTACCAGTAATCACACAGAATACAGCCTCCCCTCTATACACATCCACCAGTGGGTCAGCGGTGAATTCAGAGACTTGCAATGCTAAAATCCAGGGCTTGATTCCCTTCAGCAAACAGCTAAATGTGGCTTTCCTTTAAAACAAACCTTCTACAGGTTTGAGCTCAATCAACCACCACTAGGGAAATGAAACTATTGTGCTTTGTTAACTCTGATTAAAAAGTTAGCACACAAGAAGAATAGTGAACTAATCAAAAATGCTCAAGTTTTGGGTCTCGTTTATAAACCATTACTACTTTATTAATAATGCTATAGTTACCTTTACAGGATACAACCTCCCTTCTACATGTACAAGACAAAAAAACATGCTTATCCTAATGAAGAAGTCATACTTTACCTCAAAAGCACTAATAAAAGTTGGCACAACTAACATCACAGGATAAAAGGATTGATAAGTGGCTAATGCCAAAATTACTGCTGTTATTGTTGAAAAGCCTAGAATAAAAAACAAAATAGAATACATAGTGTCACTACTTGAATACAATCAAAATAGAACACATAGTGCCACTATTTGAGTACTTAGTGTCACTACTTGAATATACAGTGCCACTATTTGAGTACCTAGTGTCACTACTTGAATACACAGTGCCACTATTTGAGTACCTAGTGTCACTACTCGAATACATCAAATTAGAATACAGTGTCACTGCTCCAATACATCAAATTAGAATACAGTGTCACTACTCGAATACATCAAATTAGAATGCAGTGTCACTACTCGAATACATCAAATTAGAATACAGTATCACTACTCAATTACATCAAATTAGAATACAGTGTTACTGCTCGATTACATCAACTTAGAATGCAGTGTCACTGCTCGATTACATCAACTTAGAATGCAGTGTCACTACTCAATTACATCAACTTAGAATGCAGTGTCACTGCTCGATTACATCAACTTAGAATGCAGTGTCACTACTCAATTACATCAACTTAGAATGCAGTGTCACTACTCGATTACATCAACTTAGAATACAGTGTCACTGCTCGATTACATCAACTTAGAATGCAGTGTCACTACTCGAATACATCAAATTAGAATACAGTGTAACTAGTCGATTACATCAACTTAGAATGCAGTGTCACTACTCGAATACATCAAATTAGAATACAGTATCACTGCTTAAATACATCAAATTAGAATACAGTATCACTGCTTAAATACATCAAATTAGAATACAGTATCACTGCTTAAATACATCAAATTAGAATACAGTGTCAATGCTTGAATACATCAAATCAGAATACAGTGTCACTGCTTCAATACATCAAATCAGAATACAGTGTTGCTACTCGAATACATCAAATTAGAATACAGTGTCACTGCTTGAATACATCAAATTAGAATACAGTGCCACTACTCGAATACATCAAATTAGAATACAGTGTCACTACTTGAATATCTCATGTCACTAGTTGAGTACATTGTGCTACTACCGAGTACATCGTTTCACTATTTCAGTACACCATGTCACTATTTGAGTACACTGTGCTACTACTGAGTACGTCGTTTCACTATTTCAGTACACCATGTCACTATTTGAGTACATTGTGCTACTACTGAGTACGTCGTTTCACTATTTCAGTACACCATGTCACTATTTGAGTACATTCTGCTACTACCGAGTACATCGTTTTACTATTTCAGTACACCATGTCACTATTTGAGTACATTGTGCTACTACCGAGTACATCGTTTCACTATTTCAGTACACCATTTGAGTATACAGTGTCACTATTTGAGTACAGTGTCACTAGTTAAACACATAAAATTTCGATATTAAGCTAGGTTCAAACTGTTAAATTATTATTATTTCTCTTTACTGTTCTCATTAACTAGTTTAATTAACAGAAGTATTTAACTTTATACTCACAAACAACCACTATACGTAAACCTTATCTTTCTTGTACTTTAAAATTTTCTAGTAAAAAGCATGACATTATGTTAATTTTATTGCCACGACAAACTTCTTTGGTTCTTCCTAACAGTGGCTTTGGTTCACATTAAGCTATTTCTACATTGGTACAACACCACCTCCATTGTCATTAGTCAGTGTTTCTCATATACACACTATCAAGGATACACTAGTATCAATTCATAATGCCAAGGAAGTAACAAACACAAGAAGGATTATGGTTTTGTGAACTGTGTATTTTTCTTGGCATATTTTATTAAAAAAATATCATTTAAAATACACTGTTAATTTATCCATTGTACGATCCTATCACAATTATCTGGGAAAAAGACAAAGTGCCAGACCATTTTATCATCAAGATAAATATCAATTCATAAGAGCCACCAAAACTACAACAGTACATTAGTGAGGGATTTTAAAATATTGGTAAAAACTGCATCTGTAAATGGGCTTTAACATTATGTGATATAAGGGCAAAGATTTATTTTGTATGGTTTTAATTTTCAATCATATGACACATTGTTTGAAAACATATTATTTTAGTAAATATTTATAATTTTCATTTAATTTCTAATTTAAAAAAGATGGAAATTTCTTTTCATAAAATAAGAAGATATGAATCGAAAGATTAATACATACCATACACCATGCAAAAAAAGGAGAGTGATAAAAGTAGGTTTGTAAACACAGAAGTTGACCTTCCAACACAAGCCAGAATAGAGAATGGACACAGCAAATATCTGAAAAGGAAAACATATATATAACATAAGAAAAAACTCAGTGATCAGATTTATAATAGAAACTTTAATAAACTCTAAAACATTAATGTAAATAAAATTGAAAGTAGCATAAAACAAGACGTAAATGCGATAACTTTTTAGAAGACTTTTTATGTAGCTTTTACATGCTGGTTAGTAGTAAAATATTTTTCTTACACAGGTAAAAACATCCTATATTATGCTAATCTTAAAACAAACAAGTTTAGAAAAAAAAGCCAGCAGTTAGAAGCACAAACTGTGCTAAATAAAGATATGTTTAAAAAGCCAGCAGTTAGAAGCACAAACTGTGTAAATAAAGATATGTTTAAAAAGCCAGCAGTTAGAAGCACAAACTGTGCTAAGTAAAGATATGTTTAAAAAGCCAGCAGTTAGAAGCACAAACTGTGCTAAATAAAGATATGTTTAAAAGGCCAGCAGTTAGAAGCACAAACTGTGCTAAATAAAGATATGTTTAAAAAGCCAGCAGTTAGAAGCACAAACTGTGCTAAATAAAGATATGTTTAAAAAGCCAGCAGTTAGAAGCACAAACTGTACTAAATAAAGATATGTTTAAAAAGCCAGCAGTTAGAAGCACAAACTGTGCTAAATAAAGATATGTTTCATATCATTTACCTTACACTTACACAGTTTCCACAATCAGTGCAACTTTACCCACATCTGAGTCTTGTAGCAGGATTGTTGAAGATTCAGCCACAAACTTAGATGAATTACTTTCCTTTTCAGCCTGAGAGAGGAAACACAACTGTGATCATACTAATCATTGTTTTTTTGCAGCATATCAAAGTATTAAAAATATATGCATAGAAGAGGTTTAAAAAACCTATTAACAGTTTAAAATTATTACTAACAAATATGGCTGACACTCAACTTCCTGAAGTGACTTTTACAACCAAACAGACTTTTAAAATTCACATATTTTTGTTCTTAAACTTTTTAATTCAGTAATAAATTTGACTTTAATAAAAATATTGGGTTTCAACCACTAGCAAAGAAAATTCATTATCTGAAAGAAAAAAAGTGGTCAGTATTATCCCATCATTGCAACTTATTAACTGGTACTTTTGATAAAAGATTACAAGAGTCGGTCTTAACTTACTGAAGTACAGCAACATATAAAAGTAAGTCCACTAAGCATTTTTGTTAATTTTTACCCTATTTTTTAAGTTTTAACAAAATAAAGGAAAGGTAGTGTGAGCAAATAAAACAAAGTAACAAAAAACATTCTTAACCAGAGGAAAGCTGCTATAACTCTCCAGATCCCAGAGGTATAGTGTTTAAATCCATATAATAATAATAATATTGGTAGAGTTCTAGATAAACAGACTACAATTACCATCCATGTAATGGCAGTCAACTCGAATAAGATTCACCCTAGTGACTGGTCTAACTTACTGAATGAGTATCTACAACAAAGAAGAAAAGTCTCCATTCTTCCAGAGTGATCTGTGTTTTCTGTAAAATCATACATAAGAACACCCAATTTGTTCTCAGACAAACAAGTTATGCGTGGTGTTACAAATTCTGATAATAATAAGTGCTATGAGAATTTGAGGAACCTAACTGTCCAATTGAAATGTCATACCTGTCTAAATAAAAATCCATGTATTTAGTTTATTGATAAATTGGTGTCCTTCACTAATATCTCACTAAAAATTAATTTAATGGTGCAGTTAAAAAAACCTTCATGTAACGTAACATTTTTGGGACGACATGGGACATTGGTCCATCTCAGCTGTTCCATCCTCAAAACTAAACTAAAACTACTATAGAAAAAAATTCTTAAAGCCAGCCCTTATCAAGTTTTTTCTTGAACTCACTTAAATTTACTGCCTCCACAACATCCAAAGGCAACCCATTCCAAAGGCCAACTACCCTGTTAGAAAAATAGAACTGTCTTAGCTAGCTTGCCAAAATTTATACTTGTGTCCCCTAGTCCTACTATTCTCACTGTTAAGTATGAAAAAAAGATGATCTCTCCTAACTCTTCTTTTTTCAAAAGAAAACATTTTGAGAGATTTCAACCTCTCCACGTATGACAACCCCTCCAT